TCTCTCTCTCTCTCTCTCTCTGTTTCTTTCTCTACCTGCTGACTTATTGCTATCCTTATCTATGTCCCCAACTGCTCTCTCTCTATTTACTGATTTACTATCGCTTTTCATCACTCTCTCTACCTGCTATATCACTATCCTTATCTGCTTGTATCTGTTACCCCCCCCTCTGCTGACTGATTTGCCCACCTCCTTTGTTTTTGTCTACATGTCACTTTCTGGCCACACCTGTGTCTTTGTCAGTCTCACCTCTAACTCTTTCTCTCTGATTTACCTCCTCCTCTAACTTATCAAGGAGATTCTATCAGTTTAAGGAATGTCTGCCTTCATTCATCAGTCTGTCCATCTACTTATCTCTCTGTCTTCTCCAATCGGGGGGGCACCTCGAGGCGATGTAATGGTTAGCAAGCTTGTCTTGCTAGAACAGTTACAACTAATTAGTGAGTTTGATCCTCACTGGATGCCCAATACTTTCGGCCTAGTACCACATCTGAGCTATACTTGGAAAATCAATTTGGGCACCACCAGGTGGTGTAATGGTTAGCAAGCTTGTCTCGCAAGAACAATTATGACTGAGTAGTGAGTTCGATCCTCACTGGGTGCCCCATACTTTTGACCTTGTGCCACATCTAAGCTACGCTTGGAAAATAACTATCTCTTTGTCTTCTCCAATCTGATAAACTGACTTACTATGGCTTTAGAGATGTGTGATGTGATTCTACAGAAAGATGTTGAAGATACCATGGACCAAACATAAGAGCAATAATGAGGTTTTATAGAGAATGAAAACAAACTTATACTTTACATCAGGAAGAGATTGTTGATATTTCTGGGACACATAATGAGGAAGGCAGGCTTGGAAAATCTGATACTCACAGGACAGAGGGAAGCAGCATGTAACATACTTGATGAACTTGAGCAAGTGGATTGCAGAACAGAGTTTAGGAGAAATAGTAAAAAGACAAAACTTTTTAAGAGCTACAAGCTACAGAAAGATATGGAGGGCCATGATCGCCTACATCAGTGGTTCCAAGTCTTTATGCCCTACACACTTAAAATACTTTAATATGTTGTCGCATCCTTTAAAGTAATAATTTATTTAAGGATAATGAAGGTGACCAAAAGAAATTTATATAATCAATTTTTAGTAGTACATAAACAAAAAATGGAAAAGAAAAAAATATTGTAACAAATTAAAAGTTGCATAAACCCTACAAAAAAATTAAATTTTCATCCATGCATGAAATTTCTTTAAAAAAATTCAAGAAATAATGTTCAGATGTTTGTAAGCTAATTTAAATTTGAGTTTTTTTATTCTGGTTCCATCCCATCTTTAATTTGGATTTTAAAAAAAAAAAAAATCAATATTTTTATCTTGAACAGTACTTTAAATTGTACATCATGTACGACAGTACCTATATATCATATATATATTACCTATGTATTATTATATATTTACTATATTACCTATATATCATATATATTACCTATGTATTATTATATATTTACTATATTACCTATATATCATATATATTACCTATGTATTATTATATATTTACTATATTACCTATATATCATATATAATACCTATATATTATTATATATTTATTATATTACCAATATATTATATATATATTACCTATATATATTATTATATATTATATATATATTACCTATATATTATTATGTATTATATATTTATAATAATACATTATATCGGACAGTACCTACTTGCATATATTGAACAGTACTCTTAATACAAACAAAAACACTGAAATGTTGTATGTCTTGGAATACTATTTCACACCCTAAGGGGTGCTAGAACCCCTGGTTGGGAAACCCTGGCCTACGTCCTGAAGACATATGGCACATAACAGAAAATAATCTCTGGTTCTGGTTTTTGATGCTTTTGTCTCGTGAACTTTTTTGTTTTCACACTCAGAATTTCAATTTCCAGGTTTTGATCTTTGAAAGAAGAAACCATATTGAACAAAAGGGAGGAAGAAGTCAATTGATGTCAGTTGGTCGGCTTCTGTCTGGATTTGTGGGATGAAGAGTTATTATTATTCATATATTTACGTGCAGACAATTGTCCATCTTCATTGTTGTTGTCACAACACTACGTCTGTTGTAGTGTAATGGATATTGGCTCAGAAAGAGAACTCTGAGAGACAAATTCAAATTCCATTCGAACTTGTTAGGTTCACTTATACTCAAATACCTTTGGGAAAGGTGTGTATCTCATCTCTTCTCCCCATATCTATGGATTGAATAGCAGAACAGACAGGGTTTTTTAGTCTTGGGTGGCAACCAGTCTACTGCAGAAAGAAATTGCAACCTACTGCGGGGAAGAAAAAAAATGCCTCATCAGTCATGTATTGAAAAAAATACATGATCACCCAAGCATGTATGATGTATGTCATTTGACTGACGGCTGTTATGCCTTCTGACCTTCAGAGCTGGGCAGTGTGTACTTGAACTTGATGGAAACATGGTGAGTAATAATCATGCACTATTAAGAAAAACAACTAGATACATTATCCCTAGATATGGGCAGTGGAATGAAAACAGTCTACCTCTGTATATAGAGGGTTCAGTTCAGAATTCCCTGTAGGTTACCTGGTTCAACATACACCTGATGGAGGGCACAACAAATGTGATAAACAACAAAGATGAAGATAATAGTCTGAATGTAAATAGTATAAATAATGGGTTGGTTAGGTTAGTGTTGGGGTCTGTTTAGAGGCCAGAAAGAAAGATATGGAAGACGAAGGTAGGTTGAACAAGTGTATTGAAATAACAGAACATGTATACAAAATGAAAGTGTTAATAGTCAGTAGATAGAAGTGTCTGTCTGAACAGTAGGTTAACACTGCATCTCCGCTGCCTAACGACTCTACCCTAGGAAGTCTCACAGTTAGTATTTATGAGAGGAGGAAGAGTTCATTCTAACGTAGGAGGGTTTATCACAACGGTTAGTTAATGTTGGAATTAGTCTTTAAAAATGATTATAATTGAGTCAATAAGCATTTTCTTGGTTCTGGGCTAGGTAAATATTGGTCAATTATATTTCAGTTTATAGGTAGATATTGGTAATATATTACTCAAATAAGTTTCATATTTATTTGTATTTGATTTTATAAACATTCGCTTGGTTTGGGATGTTGCAGAACTGCTCTAAGACACAGTGTCAACCATAATTGCACATGTAAATGACAGGTTGTCATTACTTGCAGGGATGAAAGGAAATGGAAGAAATTTAAACAAGCGATATTTTATATTTTTTTTTTTTATATAAACTTAGTAAAGAGAGAGAAAATATACTAGTTTGTACACAAAAAAAATATATATATATATATATATACATATATGCAAAAAAAAAAAAATATATTTTATATTTTTGTTTTTGTATAAACTTAGTAAAGAGAGAGAAAATATATTAGTATGCAAAAAAGAAAAATATATATACATACTGTTTGCAAAAATGAAAATATATATGTATAGATATGCAAAAAGAAGAAAAAAATATATATGTAGATATGCAAAAGAAGAAAAAAATATATATGCAGATATGCAAAAAGAAGAAAAAATATATATATAGATATGCAAAAAGATATATATATAGATATGCAAAAGAAAAAAATATATATATAGATATGCAAAAAGAAAAAAAAATATATATAGATATGCAAAAAAGAAAAAATATATATATAGATATGCAAAAAGAAAAAAAAATATATATATAGATATGCAAAAAGAAGAAAAAAATATATATATAGATATGCAAAAAGAAGAAAAAAATATATATATAGATATGCAAAAAGAAGAAAAAAATATATATACACATTGAATGCAAAAAAGCAAAAGTATATATAATACACACACATGCTATGCATGCAAAACTGAAAAAATGTTTTATATATGTACAGTGTAACCCAGATATAAGAGAGTTGTCAGGACCGCAGAAGAAGTCTCTTATATCCGGGTTTGGTCTATTTTATATACATTAACACAGGCTCTAATTTGGGACCAGAGGCAAAAAACTCTCTTATATCCGGGTTACACTGTATATATTATAAAATATTTTATATATGCATGCAAAAAGAAAAAAATATATACATAAAAATATATATATATATATATATATATATATATATATATATATATATATATATATATATATAAAATACTCACACACTATGCATGCAAAATAGAAAAATGTTATATATATATAATATTTTTGTTATAAAATATTTTACACATATATATATATATATATATATATATATAATGCAAAAAGAAAAGTGTATATATATATAATGCAAAATATATATATATATATATATATATATATCTATATATAATGCAAAAAAAAAAAAGTGTATATATATATATATATAATGCAAAAAGAAAAAAGTGTGTATATATATATATATATATATATATATATATATATATATATATATATATATATATGCAAAAGAAAAGTGTGTGTGTATATATATATATATATATATATATATATATATATATATATATATATATATTTTTTTTTTATTATAAAATATTTTACATTGCTTTTTAGTGCTACCAATATAAAATTTCTTAATGGCTGAGTTTTCAGTAGATGAAATGTTGCATTGGTAAACAATTGATTCTTTAAGACATTTTTTTTTGCAATGGGCAATTTATGGGATTTCTGTGATTACATAATTTATTATTGATTTCTGCTTTGGAATTACTATTATTATTTAAGTTTAAGTATTTGTTTAAAATTTTATTATGTTTTTAATTTTTTTCTAGATTATCAGCACAACTGTAACTTAATTTAAGCATATTTTTATTGAAAATCTTGCTTAGAGGTTTATTACTTGGGAAATGTTTCTCAATCAAAGCAAGAAACTTTTGCCCTGACATAGTGTACACGCCCCCATTTAACCAAATGGTTAGCGCTAAGTTAGGTCACGAATTTATAAGCCCTTAAATGACCCATGTCATGTTTAAATGAGAGAGAGAAAAGAATATGGAAGGAGTGAATCATGGGAAAATGGGGGAGTTAGTGAAGAGAAAATTAGAGAAAAATGAGGGAGGTAGTGAAATGAGCAGAAGTAAGTGAATGAATAGGGGAGGTGACAGAGGGAGGGGAAGAATGGATTTTCTTTAGATATTTGAGTTTTATTTCTGTTTGTGCAACACTGATTTCCATTGTCATCTTGGTAAAGATAATTGAGAGAAAGAGAAAAGAATTGGTTTGGGAGAAAAGAAAAGTAAAGGAGCAGATGAGAGATATTGGGAAAAGAGAAAAGGTACAGAGAGAGAGAGAGATATTGGGAAAAGAGAAAAGGTACAGAGAGAGAGAGACATATTGGGAAAAGAGAAAAGGTACAGAGAGAGAGAGATATTGGGAAAAGAGAAAAGGTACAGAGAGAGAGAGAGAGATATTGGGAAAAGAGAAAAGGTACAGAGAGAGAGAGACATGGGGGAAAAAGAAAAATTACAGACAGAGAGAGATATTGGGAAAAAAGAAAAGGTACAGAGAGAGAGAGAGATATTGGGAAAAGAGAAAAGGTACAGAGAGAGATATTAGGAAAAGAGAAAAGGTACAGGGAGATATTGGGAGAAAAGGTACAGAGAGAGAGAGAGAGATATTGGGAAAAGAGAAAAGGTACAGAGAGAGAGAGAGAGATATTGGGAAAAGAGAAAAGGTACAGAGAGAGAGATATTGGGAAAAGAGAAAAAAGTACAGAGAGAGAGAGAGATATTGGGAAAAGAGAAAAGGTACAGAGAGAGAGAGATTGGGAAAGAGAAAAGGTACAGAGAGAGAGAGAGAGATATTGGGAAAAGAGAAAAGGTACAGAGAGAGAGAGAGAGATATTGGGAAAAGAGAAAAGGTACAGAGAGAGAGAGATATTGGGAAAAGAGAAAAGGTACAGAGAGAGAGAGATATTGGGAAAGAGAAAAGGTTACAGAGAGAGAGAGAGATATTGGGAAAAGAGAAAAGGTACAGAGAGAGAGAGAGATATTGGGGAAAGAGAAAAGTTACAGAGAGAGAGATATTGGGAAAAGAGAAAAGGAGAGAGAGAGAGATATTGGGAAAAGAGAAAAGGTACAGAGAGAGAGAGAGATATTGGGAAAAGAGAAAAGGTACAGAGAGAGAGATATATTGGGAAAAAGAAAAGTTACAGAGAGAGAGAGACATGATTGGGAAAAGAGAAAAGTTACAGAGAGAGAGACATATTGGGAAAAGAGAAAAGGTACAGAGAGAGAGAGAGATATTGGGAAAAAGAAAAGGTACAGAGAGAGAGAGATATTTGGAAAAGAGAAAAGGTACAGAGAGAGAGAGAGATATTTGGAAAAGAGAAAAGGTACAGAGAGAGAGAGAGAGATTGGAAAAAGAGAAAAAGGTACAGAGAGAGAGAGAGATTTGGAAAAGAGAAAAGGTACACAGAGAGAGATATGGGGAAAAGAGAAAAGGTACAGAGAGAGAGAGAGATATTGGGAAAAGAGAAAAAGTACAGAGAGAGAGAGAGAGATATTGGGAAAAGAGAAAAAGTACAGAGAGAGAGAGAGATATTGGGAAAAGAGAAAAGGTACAGAGAGAGAGAGAGATATTGGGAAAAGAGAAAAGGTACAGAGAGAGAGAGAGATATTGGGAAAAGAGAAAAGGTACAGAGAGAGAGAGAGATATTGGGAAAAGAGAAAAGGTACAGAGAGAGAGAGAGATATTGGGAAAAGAGAAAGGTAGAGAGAGAGAGAGATATTGGGAAAAGAGAAAAAGGTAGAGAGAGAGAGATATTGGGAAAGGAGAAAAGGTACAGAGAGAGAGATATTGGGAAAAGAGAAAAGGTACAGAGAGAGAGATATTGGGAAAGAGAAAAGGTACAGAGAGAGAGAGATATTGGGAAAAGAGAAAAGGTACAGAGAGAGAGAGAGATATTGGGAAAAGAGAAAAGGTACAGAGAGAGAGAGATATATTGGAAAAGAGAAAAGGTACAGAGAGAGAGAGAGAGAGATATTGGGAAAGAAAAAGGTACAGAGAGAGAGAGAGAGAGATATTGGGAAAACAGAAAAGGTACAGAGAGAGAGAGATATTGAAAAAAGAAAAGGTACAGAGAGAGAGAGAGATAGGAAAAAGAGAAAAGGTACAGAGAGAGAGAGAGAGATATTGGGAAAAGAGAAAAGGTACAGAGAGAGAGAGAGAGAGAGAGATATTGGGAAAAGAGAAAAGGTACAGAGAGAGAGAGAGATATTGGGAAAAGAGAAAAGGTACAGAGAGAGAGAGAGATATTGGGAGAGAGAAAAGGTAGAGAGAGAGAGAGAGATATTGGGAAAAGAGAAAAGGTACAGAGAGAGAGAGAGAGAGATATTGGAAAAAGAGAAAAGGTACAGAGAGAGAGAGATATTGGGAAAAGAGACTAAGGTACAGAGAGAGATATTGGGAAAAGAGACTAAGGTACAGAGAAAGAGAGAGAGATTGGGAAAAGAGACTAAGGTACAGAGAAAGAGAGAGAGATTGGGAAAAGAGAAAAGGTACAGAGAGAGATATATATTGGGAAAGGAGAAAAGATACAGAGAATAAGGTAGAGAGAGAGATTGGGAAAAGAGAAAAGGAAAGGTAGAGTGAGAGATATATATTGGGAAAGGAGAAAAGGTACAGAGAGAGATATATGTTGGGAAAGGAGAAAAGGTACAGAGAATAAGGTAGATAGAGAGAGATTGGGAAAAGAGACTAAGGTACAGAGAGAGAGATTGAGGAAAGAGAAAGGGTAGAGAGAGAGATTGGAAAAAGAGAATAGGTACAGAGAGATGGCAAAGAGTGGTTGACATAGAAAGGGGAGTTTAGGTCAGATGATTTTACAATATGTCGACTATTATTGAACTGTTTAATATTAAATTTTGTATAGGGCACCCAGTTAGGATCAAACTCACTAATCAATAATAATTGTCAACCAGACGAGACTTGCAAACAATTATCCCACATCGAAGTGCTTGACACATCATCTTTTTATTGATTAGTTTATTTTATAGCATATCAGACCTTGTTGACTTATTTAATGTTGAATTTTGTATAGAGCCCCAGTGAGTATCAAACTCACTAAGCAGTAGCGATGGGCAGATTAGAATTGTCAATCATTACTCCATGACGAGTTTGCTGCTTAAATTGAGTTGGTTGATTTTATTATATATCTACCTGTTTTGTGTTATTTAATGTCAAATTTTGTATTGGGCACCTAGTGAGAATCTAAATAATAACTCCATAGTAATGGTCACCAGACTAGCCTTGTTAACCATTACCTCACACCAATTGTTGATATTTCTTTATTTTATGACATTCCAAACTTTGTTAAATTATTTGTTAGTTTTTTGGGGGGTGGCGGGGAGCTGGTAGCCATATCATGTTGAAACATCTGTTCCCATACAATAACTGAAGTTAAGCAACATTGAGCCTGGTCAATATGTAGATGGATGTAAGCTTGGATATGTGGTGGGTGTAACAAATAATGGCTTGGATTTGTTAATTGAAGAGCCAAGTTCCCATTCCAGTTGGGTTCCTTATATTCACTTACTTGGTTACTTGGGAAAGGTATGAATCTACCTCTTCTCCTTTCACCTATGGATTAATTAGTAATATTTGTATCAGTAAATCATTATCTCCCGGAAAAAAAAATTTCATACAGTCTCGAAATATTTTCTGTCTTTAAAAGATTTGCAAAGGGTTGATAAGCAATGGCCAAATTGGCAAGAATATGGTAAAGCAAAATCAGATTTCAAACAAAATACAGACCGTACAAATCACTGGTGGTCTCCATTCTATATATATATATATATATATATATATATATATATATATATGATTTGTAACCTGTAGTTGATATTAAATTTGTCAAATTTTCTCAATTACAAAGCGGCCCTTTAAGTAAACGCAATTTTACTTTCCTTTGTCGCACCTCTCTCCCCCACCTTGTCTTTCCCTTCCTCTTATTCTAACATTAAATTGTCTATGGTGTGTGTATGTCACCACGAAATGTATCTTTATGCATTAGACCTCCGTCAACGTTCATTCTTTTCCCTTCTCCCATATCTCCTAAAATTCTCTCCGTTAAGGTTTAATCTCCCTCCTCCTCATACTTACACTCTCCCTAAATTCTGTTTTTATTTCCGGATTTTTTTTTTTTCTGTTTTCTTTTTGAATTTGTAGGTCTGATGAATTGGATCGTATTTACGATTCCAATGGAATAAATTATGACCATGGAATATTAGTGTTTAAGCCTTTTTATTATATCCTTACTCTGTCCTAGACATTGAGTTCTACCTGGATTCTTCCACTTGGAATTTTTTTCTGAAAATATACATGTATGGGTATTTATATATTTTGCTTATGTATGTATATTTTCCACTAATATTATATATATATATATATATATATATATATATATATATATGAAACCAGGACACTGTTGGCAGAAACGGAAAAATGGATCCAAGCATTACATGAGGAAACTCCTTGGCATCTTCTATTGGAAACATAAAGCCGATGAGTTTGTGTAGAAAAGGGTTGAAAGTTTTGTGGGCCAACAGGTATCTCGTCATGCTACTGTCAAATGGAGAAAAATGGTGTGGTTTGGACACATTACAAAGAACAGTAACTTGTCCAAGACCACCATGCAAAGCACTGTTGAAAGTGGATGTAGGGGAGACTGCCAATGCAAAAACTGGTTGGACAATGTCAAATAATAGGCATGTCTGACTATACCAGAATTGCTGGTGACTTCTGTTGATAGACAGTTGTGAAGAAGATTCAATATGGCTTCTGCATTCGGATCCCCCCCCCACTATGATTGCAAAAGTCAAGAGGATGATGATGATGATAAGCTGTAGAAAAGGAATCAATCAATTTTTTTCTTGGTGAATCCACCATCAACACTGGCACCTACATATTTTGTATATTTCTCTTAAGGATTGTTAAATTTAGTATATTAAATATACATGCAAATAGAGCAATTATTATGGGACTGATGTTGAAATAATACTTTTATCCTATAATAGTTGTTTCATGTTGTGTGCAAAATAAATATGTAAATGGAACAATTATTATGGGACAGGTCTATTAAAATTACTACTTTTGTCCCATAAAGTTGTTTCATATTGTGCACAAAATAATTATATGAATGGAACAATTATTATGGGACAGGTCTATTAAAAGTATTAATTCTGTCCCATAAAATTGTTCCATATTGTGCACAAAATAATTATATGAATAGAACAATCATTATGACACAGGTGTATTAAAAATGATACTTTTGTCCCATAATAGTGGTTCAATTCTGTACATAAAATATATTCACAAATGAGACAACAGTTATAATACAAAGTTAGTATTATTTTATTTATTAGTTTTCTTTATTGTATTATTTTACATTATTTTATTTACGTACTAAAAGCTTTTGTTAGTTTCATTTGAACTGACATTTTTTATTTTTTATTAAAATGGGACCCTGTTTAGGCATGATATTTTATGCATTTCACTCAATGCCATTTCCTCATAAAGATCATTAAACAGCGCTAATGGCTTGCAATACCATCTTTGGGATTTGGTTTCTGGTTAACGGGAATGGAAGAGATACTTGAGATTGTCAATAGATGGAAGTGGGAGAGAAAAACAGGTTGATGGCTTGGAAAGAGATTAATCAATGTTTAAGTCTTACATGCCCACATTTTGTCCTGAACAAATAGTCACCTGACCTCCGATGACTAAACTGCTAAGTTAGTGATGATCTCATTACATTTGTAAGTTAGTAATTGTCCGAACAGTAAGAATGATTCAGCAAGAAAATATTAGAAGCAATAAATTGATTGTTTTTTCAGATCTTTGTGAAAATTTTTGATCTCTTGAAGAATAATCCAAATGAGAATTAAGGATCATAAACACTAACACATTCAAAAGCCAAAGAAAAGTGATGTACCTGTAGAATAAAAAGCTTTTAAAACTTGTGTGTTGTCATGAAATTTCAACCAAAATTCTATTAAAATGCTGTGATTAAATCTGAGAAAGATTAGATTAATCTTTGCCTCAATTTTTAAATTGCACACTGAAATAATTTAAGCTTGCATGTCACTTGAGATAGCAAACCAGAACAATATATAGAAGGATACAGGGTGGTACAAGAACTATGGTAGATTCTAAGTGATGTAAATTTAAAAGATGTTGAACAAAAGTGAGCTATGTCTATATTTTTGAGATGAGGTATTTACACTGTTTACATTTTTCAAACTGTTGTCCTCATCTTTATTACCATATTCACAATTTTTCAACCCTTATAGATTCCAGCCATTTTCTGGTATTATGAGTTGGAATTTCAAACTAAAATCTTTAATTAATCCATGAGGTAGATTGTTCTAATTCCACATGACATAACTCTGAATATCTCTTTTAGTTAAAAGGGAATTATTCTTCATTTCTTGTTTATCCATTTGTGTGTGTATATATATATAATATATATATATATATATATACTTAGAGGAAACAGTCTGTTTCATGCTAGATGCAATCGTCAGGCCACAACAATTGCATCTCGCATGAAACAGACTGTCGCCTTTAAGTGTTGACTTCTACGTTCACTTTTATATTTACACACGCTCTATCTCTGATATTGAGCACTTTATCCCACAAATATAGCACGTCTTAAGACTATATTTCTTTTTTTTATATATATATATATATATATATATATATATATATATATATATATATATAAAGTAGACTCTCCCATCACATTCAGTATATGAGGGTCAAGTAGATCAGTTCCTAGATACCAACAGCCAGATGCCAGCACAGATGATTTGATTATAGTGGTGAAGGCTTTGTGCAGAACCAACCACACTTTTTGAAGGGTTGAATAGAGAGATTTGGTTCACTACATGCCACAAGGTCCCCAAACAACCCTCTGCAGGTTTTGAATTCAGAGTTGTACTTCTCCTAGACCAGTTGCCATCCAAGGGTATAGAACCCAGTCTGTCCTACTATTTACTCATAGCTGGAGAGAGAAGAGGGGGGTTAACATTTTTCCCAATATTTATTAATATTATCATTTCTCAGGTTTGTCCATAAAATGCTAGGTTAGTGTGATGTCCTTTCCTCTTTTAATGCAGATACATATGCTTTCTTTTTTTCAAGAAATGATAACATTAATAAAAGAAAGAGGAACATAATCTGGTTCAACCCACCTTTCAACACACAGGTAAAAACAAACATAGACAAGATGCTTTTCAATATATTACATAAGCACTTTCCTAATACATCCGGACTATATATTTAACCACAATATGGTCAAATTAAGTTATAGCTGTACATACAGTATCGGCAGCATCATAAAAAGAATAGCAAAAATTTAAAGCTCAAAAAAGACATGAAAGG